CATCATCATCATCATCATCATCATCATCATCATCATCATCATCATCAAATGAACCATTTGTCGTTCCAAGAAGAAAAAGATGATTAGAATTAAATCATAAATACGAATATAACAACTACATATAAAACAATTGATAAATAAATTATAACAAATATGTAACGTATCGTAAAAATGTACGTACGCATCGCCGTCTAACTAAAAACTTTTCATCCGTTTTTGACCAGCATGCAAAACACAAACTGATTGAAGACATTTGCGGTTAAATATTCAATATTCCATTTTTCAAATGACTTTGCAAAAATGTTTTTGTTGAACGATCGTAACAACAGCAACAAAGCCATTTGATGAATCGAATATATTTGTTTGTGGAAATAGTTGCTTGATTATCATAAAGTTCGCGAACATATTTACTACATATTTATGACTAACGGACATTAGTCCCCAAATCCATCAATCTATTTATCCATCCATGGATATGGATGGATGGATGGATTTGAGGACTAATTTCCGCTGGCCATATTTATGATTTTTGACCATCTTATTTACACACCAGCTGGAAATATTTTCAATCGTGTGCGTGCGCGAGTGCCTACATTTCCTTTTTGCAATGTGAAATATTCATGTAATTTTGTATATTATGTAGAACATAAAAGTTCTTATCATAGGGTTCCCATTGGTCATTGGTAAACTTTGATCATGGGTTTGTGGCTTGTTGTTTTGCAAGTATTCGCCCTCGCACTATTTGAATGTAAAAATAGTTTTTCTTGAATATAAGTGGCGTGGCAATACGAAAATCGTCAATCTGGAATTTGTTTAAATACGATAAATTTACAGTGATTGCATCGTTTGAGGCGTCATTATTGCAGAGAAAAAAGAATGTAATTACCGAACGAGTGAAAAGTGTAGAGTTTAATACGGGTACATTTGATAAATTTTTGCACCTCCGACAGCCATGCTATTTTGAAGTTTATTTATCTCAATTGGTACAAAACAAAATCACGTCTTGTTATGCACAAACTTATTGTTCATTTCAACAGGCACGATGTTGGCGTCGATATTAACGTTTCGTATTCAAACCCTAAGCCGATATAAAGTAATTCCATGACCAACGATCCGTTGAACTGTTGTACTTATGCCTTCATTTCGCACTTCCATGATCAATTGTTTAAGCGAGTTTTTTTTTTTTTTCAACGAGAGTGTTTTTAGTGAAAATTTACTCTACAAAGAGCGGCTCAACAAATGCGAATCTTGTTCGTTTTGGTATTCTTTCCTTCATTCATCTTATACAAACGTGTGAATATGTTTCGAATGTATAATAAAACGTTGCGATAGTTAAAATCTGAAATATTTGAACTTTTACCTTTTTATGATACATGTATATGAAATTTTTCAGTAAACATACATAGATACACTGAACTGTGTGTAATACACATATTTTATTGTTTGAGTAGCCAGTTCACTAGTAGTATAGATTTGTATGTTTTGTCTCTTTTTAACCGTCTCCACTCTCTCATATTTTTAACCGTCTCTGCTTGCTATGTTCCACGTTCCCCTCATCTTGATTAAAATTGTTATTGTCTTTTTGATATAATACGATTCATAAGCATCGAGCCGTCTATAGAATCATGCCTTCTCTCACTCATTTGCAATGTTTAAATGAAATTTGATTAGTAGTGTGAGTTTTTATGTTACTGTTTATTAGGGTGCATCGATTTTTTATTTTTGAAAATGAAAAAAACGGCTAGTGCGGCTTTTTTAGACCTGGTCGAGAGTAACAACTTTTGTTCTGGCACTTTGGCCTAC